TATATATATATATATATATATATATATATCTGTGAGTGAGATCGTAGGCGGGTCGGTGCTTAGGAAGTCAATTGTCTGGGACTTCTTTTAAGAAGAATGAGAGATTACTAAGGGCTTGACTCTGGCATTTTCATTAAGGATAACAAAGGAAACATAGAGTCATTGTCATAATTAGTTAAGCGTGGAAGACTGTCCTAAAAGGGTCGACCTGATTAGATAGTCGGTCCGGGGAGTTAGCACCTCGGGGCACGACATACGGGTCAGTCTCAAGGCGTTCTACCGCGCGTATGCCTATGCTACGACGATCGAGAAAACGCCCTTGGCTGGCCTACCTCTGCGATTACATATAAAAGCCTTCGCACGTGGGTCAGTATCTCAGCAGGGATACGCCCACCTAAGGGATGGTGACAGCTCCCGCAGGTGGAGGTAATGTTGTACCTCGCGGGATCCCTAACTTGTCGTAGGGAGTCGTGAGAGGTATAGCATGTGCGCACGGTCGGAGTTGGTATTGCGTAAAGTGACAAGGAGACTCCTGCGTGACACGACCGTGAGGTCCCACACAAAAACTACTTTGCGTCTGGGTGTGGGACCGCCGCGCGCGGCAACGTGCAACACATGAGCAGAGAGTTGTAATGAAGCCTGCAGATTCTCAGTGGACTGTACATTGGGCCGACGGCGAAGCTCGGGGCTTGCCTCGGTCTGGTCGCGTCTTAAGTTAGATTCACAATTTTGTTTGCTGCTGGGTATTAACCGGGATATCAGCCTGTGGGGAAATTCGTGACGAACATATCTGTAAATTTGGGAAAATTACAGGCCCGCACTAACCTGATTTCCCTATAGTCCCTCTACTGCGAATAGCAGGCCCGTGCTACCACTAGGACGGACAGGCCCTAAAGGCCTATGCCAATAGACGGTCCTATAGCCTATAGCCGGGTAGGGAGAGGCCCTAGAGGCTGAAACTGAAACGGTACCGGTCGGTCCAGCCAGTCCGGTCTAGGTCTAGGCTAGGGTACTGTAGTTCTATTAATAGGTTGTAGGAATTGGTTCAGGGCTTTTGGCAGTTGGTACCATGTACGTCGCTGCTGTGCAACGCATGAACTGAAGTGGTAACAGCTTCAGCGTTAGAGAAGACAGACATAGTCGGACCTGCGAAGTGTCGGCCATAGCTGGGACCTGCGCTGTGCTCTGACAGCACGTGGGGCTGTTCAGGGGTCCGGGCTATCTGAAGTCTGCTAGAGGCAAAAGAAGTTCGTGCCCTGCTGGACCCTCCTCAGAAGTAGGGTGTCAGGGTGTGTGGAGCTGCAGCCATAGCCGCAACTTCCTTCCTCAGAGATAATCTTTGTCAGGAGAGGTGGCGCTGCTAGGCATGATTCGCAGCCTCATACAGAGACAGTTGGGCGCCCAACCGAATGAGGCCCAGCAGCCCAGTAGCTGCTGCATCCAGGCAGCCTGCTGGGGCCTTCCGGAAGCTTCTCGGCCCAGGCCAGCCCAGCCAAGCTGCGAGAGCTGGCCAGCTCTTTTCCATAAAGGAAAGAGCTCTGGCCAGGCAGCCTCATTCAGGCACTCGCATGCTAGCGGCGGCGCTGCTGGAGCAAAGGCTCGCGGCTGCTGGCTGGCGTTGAGAGGCGAGGKGCAGCATGTGCRGTCGTGCAGAGGAGGAGGGCGCTGCTGAGGGCAGCGCCATAACCCAGCCACCATAGCTGGTGGGCTTGGACTACAGTGAAGCGCAGGGGTGGTCTTCGGGTGAGACAGAGGACAGACGTGGGTGTAGTTAGGGGATAGGTGAAGGATGATGATGATGATGATGATGTGAGGGCACTTACCTTGTATTGGCGATGGTCTGCATGGGCGACATCTTCAAGTACTTCAGGCTGCCGCTGATGTCAACAGTTGCATTGWCTTTTTGTAGTCTTTAGTAGCTGTGTAGGAGCAGGCTGGGCGCTGAGCGCCAAGTGTGAGTGTGAAGGAACTGGACTCTTGTGTTGAGGGGAGAGAGTTGCTCTCCATGAACATTGGTTTTCAGTGCTACGAACTTCCATTGGTGTATTATTGGTGCAATGCTGCTCTCTGGACACAGTGTGACTATCTGGCTTTCAATGTGATGGTGTGGACAGGAATTGTCATCTCGCTATTGCTTATTTTCCTTGCAATTTGGTATCGGAGCAAGAAGTTGTAGTGGTTGCCTCCTTTCTAGAGGGGTCAACAACTCGCTGGTTGAATGGCTTAGTGCAGCAGCAGGGCTACGGTCAGGATTTCGATGCCTGGGCTCAGGCTCAGACATTGGAACAGTTCGTACGGTCTGTCTACAACAGGTGGCCCGCAAGGGGCTCAAAAGGCCACCGATGCTATCAACAACCTTTGTTCCCGYAGGTTCAAGGATGTTAGAGAGCTTACAGACACCGTAGAACGCCTTCTCGTGGTACCTGGTGTGCGTTTTGACCCACAGGTTCTCCTAACGGATTACCTAAGGTGCCTACCTGCAGAGGTAAGGACCAAGCTGGTTGAGGAGGCCTATGTCGAACAGCACACCTTCGCTTCTTTTAGTAAGAAAGCTCTGGACATAGAGGCAAAGTTAGGGTCTGCGCATAAGGTATCTCATGATGGTAGGAAGAGACTACCCCAGGACTGGAAGAAGAAAGGTCAGTTAATGTTCATTGACCATGATGGTCAAACGACGGAGATTGATGAATTCCCAGACCTTGGGGAGTTGACAGAGCAGGATGGGGCCAGCGAGACTTCGGATGGGGGAGTCGTGGCACCTATCAAGGAAAAGGCTAGGGGGACCGGGAAGAAGAAGGTAGGACGGTCCATGGGTCAGGGCGACCAAGGGACACCCGCATGGGTAAAGCTTCATTTGGATTACGAGGTGTGGCGTGACCGCGTTGCTAGGGGTACATGCATGAACTGTGGCAACTATGGCCACACGTCCGGGACTTGCCGCGGCAAGAAGGTCACAACGAAGGTAGCCTCACCAACGGTGGTGGGCTTATCGTCGAACCCTGGGAGTGCTTCTGCGAGCAGCTTACAGGGAAACACCTCGGGCCAGTAGGAGTGTTAGCCGCTCTTACTCGTGCTGAAGTGGTAACGTTGCCTTCCCCACTTCAGGCGTTGGCCAAGGCTAGTGACCCACGCATCGCCCCGTAGACACATTCAGACCCACCGACGCTCTGTTTGAGAGATGTGTCTGTGGCCCTAGAAGAGTTAGAGACTGAGTGGTCAGGGAAGGACCCCAGGGACTCTTGGGCGATGATCAGTAGAGGTCCAAATGGTGAACATTTTGTGGTAGAAGTAGATGTAGGTGGCCGCAAGGCTGGCGCCTTCGCAGACATAGGCTCTACACGAAATTTCATCAGTCGTGCTTGTGTGGATAGACTGCGCTTAGGGGACCAAGTGCAGCGGCTTAGCAGAACTGTAGCTTCTACGCTAGCCAACAAGCACCAAATGTTGGTGAAAGACTATGTCAAGGACGTAGTCTGCACCTTCTCCTATGGAGGAGGGGAAGTGAGTCATAAAATCTCCGTCCTGGTTAGCGACGAACTGCCATTTGACATGCTCCTAGGTATGTACTACCTCGAGGTCGCGCAACCGCAGTTTGACTGGGATAGAAAGGTATTGATTCACAAGTTGCCCAACGGTAGATCTGTTAGATTGCAAAAGTTCAAAGCTAACAGTCTAATAGAAAACTACGGGTGCATGTGTGCATCATCCTTCTATAACTATTATAAGCAGAATCGAGAGGAGGGCATGTATCTAGTCTTTGTCTCTGAGAAAGGGGAGGTCGTTAAATCACCCCCAGAGATAGAAAAAATCGTCGCTCAATATTCAGACCTTTTTTAGGAGCCCACAGGCGTGGTAGAAAGGGAGGTTGTCCATGCGATAGAGGTTGTCCCAGGTAGCAAGGTGCCTAGAGGACGAATCTATAGGATGTCTCCCGCGGAGTTAGATGAGCTTCGCCGCCAGCTCAAGGAGCTCACAGAGAAGGGATGGATACGGCCTAGTACCTCCCTTTACGGTGCGCCAGTCTTATTTGTCCCAAAGAAGGGAGGTCCATTAAGGATGCGCATTGACTATAGGGGCCTCAATGCCATCACCGTTCAGAACGCGGAGCCCCTACCCCGCATTGACGACCTCTTGGATAGAGTGCAGGGATGCCGGTACTTCACAAAGATAGATCTGAAGTCCGGATACCATCAAATTGTCGTTAGGCCTGAGGACCAGTACAGAACTGCATTTCAGACCAGGTACGGTCTGTACGAGTTTGTGGTGATGCCTTTTGGCCTATGCAATGTGCCTAGTACGTTCCAGCACACGATGAACCGGATATTTCATGAGTACTTGGACAAGTTTATCATCGTGTACCTCGACGATATTCTTATCTTTAGTAGGACTGTAGAGGAGCACGCTGAGCACTTGAAAATAGTGCTAGGTCTCCTAAGACAGCACCAGTACAAGGTAAACTTGGATAAATGCGAGTTTAGTCGCACCAAGATCTTGTACTTGGGTCATGAAATTTCAGCAGATGGATTGAGGCCGGAAGATGCGAAGGTGGCAAGCATACGTGACTTGCCCAGACCTCGGACTGTCACTGAGGTCAGATCGTTTTTGGGGATGACGGACTATTATCGCCCGTTTGTAAAGAACTATAGTACTATAGCTTCCCCATTAACGGATCTAACTCGACTTGACACCCCGTGGGAGTGGACTGAAGAGTGTGAGGCAAGCTTCAAGAAATTGAAGTATGCTCTGACACACTATGAAGTTCTCAAACTTCCGGATCCTGACAAGCCATTCGTCGTGACCACAGACGCTAGCCAATATGGCATAGGCGCGGTCCTTGCGCAACAGAAAGGGCCCAAGTTGAGACCGATCGAGTACATGAGTAAAAAGATGCCTTCTCAAAAGTTAGCTAAGTCCACTTATGAGAGAGAGCTCTACGCCCTGTACCGAGCGCTTGTTCATTGGAGACACTACCTCCTAGGAAGATTCTTCTATGTGAGGTCGGACCATGAGACTTTGCGTTGGATTAAGACACAGCCTGTGTTGTCGGACGCACTCAAGAGATGGATTCAAGTGATAGACATGTATGACTATCAACTTGA